GTCTGAGTGTGCGGAGAAGAAGCAGGCGGGAACGATTGGGTGCATGATGAGGTGAAGACCCCCATACGCAACACGGGAGGAAGCCATGGAGGGCGCCCCGCTTGCAAGACATAGCTCCCGCCTGGTGCGCCGTGCACGTTGGGGCGGGCTAGGATGCTCCTGTGCTGTCCGGTAAAATTTCTTGAATGTGTTCTGTGGTCGACCCGTTAACAGGCCTCCGCGCATCCTCCGAAAGCCGCCCCCCCACCCCCTGCAGAGCAGATTGTGGGCAATGTTCAAGCTCACATCCCACCAGCCCTTCAGGTTTTGAGTAGTTCAGGGCGCTTCCTCTTCCCACCTTCCTTCATCCCCTTCGGGGAGGTCTTTACCCCTCCCCCTATCCCTTTCTGCTGGACCTGGAGGGGGGGGGGTGCGGGTCTTTTGAGCACTCAAGATGGCCTCGGCGAGAAATCTCAAATCATTGAATTTACGTAGGTTGTGGCTATATGTTGGCCTTCAGGAAGGGGGGGCCTAATGGAAACTTACTCCGTCTGTGATCGATCAGCTACAAGATGACCCCAACAAGGCCCCCGAGATGCCCAAAAGGGTACCGACGAGGCCTCGAAGATGACCCCAAGAGGCTCCCAGAACACTCCAGGGGTCCCAAAGAGGCCCGCCAAACGGAACCCATGATGCCTCAAGAGGCCCCCTGGACTGCTGAAAGTCCTTCAAGACGCCACAAGAGACATCCAAGAGGCCTCTGACCCTTCTGCTCGCCATCCACCTTCTTCTCCTCCTTCTCCTCCTTCTCCTCCTCCTCCTCCTCCTCATTCGCCAATACCTTCCCCGTCTCCCCCCTCCCCCTCCCCCATCCCCCTCCCCCCTCCCTGCTCAACCTCCTCATCCTGCTCCTCCTCCGATTCCTCCTCCATCCTCCCCCTCTTGGGGTATGACCTCCTACCCAGCCTTTTATTCCACTGCATGCTCCTCCACATCCTTGATCAGGGCATCTCGTCTAGGCATCGTGCCTGGGTGGGCTGTAGGGGTTACGCAAATCGTCGAGGATTGAAGAACAAAATGGGGCCGAAAGGAGCCTACCTAAGAGAATTCAAAACAGCCCCCCAAAGGAATGTAAGAATACCGCACAAGAGCAATACCATTCAAAACACAGGAACCATGTCTTTTTTCACACAAGCGACGTACAGAAACAACAGCAACAACAATCCGTGGCCGCCAAAACAGTGCAACAATACACCAAGACAGCCAATACCGCCCAAAGACTAAAAGGCCTGACAAGACACCCCAAAGACTTCCCAAAAGGTCCTCCAGACGCTCCAAGAGGGTCCCAATATTGCCCAAGACGGCCTCAAGACGGCCTAATGAGCCCCCACAACGGCCCAAGAGGGCTCCACCAGGACGCCCACGAAGCACTCGAGAGCAACCGATATTTGCGATCCTCCGGCGTTCACGCATTTCAGCGTACTGGCCCTTTAATGAGGTCCCCAAGGCGGTTCAGGAGCGCTTCCAAGCAGCGCATGAGGCCCCCAAGAGGCATTCAATGAGGTCCGAAGAGGGGGCACACCGAGCTGGACGTACCAGCCCCTTCATGCAGGATCGCCACCCAGAAACCCAACATGCCACCCAAAGGCCCCTGAGAGGCCCTCAAGACGCCCCCGAAAGGCCCAAGAGACCCCCAAGAAGCCTCCCAGAGGATGTCCTGGCGCGTTGGTGGGATTTGCCGCAGGCAGCGGGATAATCATAGACTTTGGGGGGTCCGCACGGACCTGCGAAACGTAACTTACGTAACATCACGTAAGTTTGTTGTAGTTGGTCTTCCTCCTCCTCCATACGGGGGCCCCGATGTCATTGTCGTCGCTGTGGTTGTCGGAGGGGGAAAATGCGGGGTGAGCAACTGCGTTCTCCCACCTCCCACAAGTCCACCAGACCTCCTGCGTCGTGATCTCTGTCATATCCAATGGTGTTTCCATACTCCGAATAGGAGATCGATTACAGAATAGATTTACTCAAAAATTGATTTTCCCGCCGAATGTACAAGACACACGTAGACTGCTTGTAGTTTTAGGGACGTCATACGTCTTCTGTCGTAGATCCGGCGTGAAAACCAACTAGATTCCTTACTTTCGACCTTAGGGAACCATGCTTCGGCACCAGGACTGCCAGCGAAAATCGCGCGTGATTGCCCACCGGTGCCAGGAATGCGTCAGGAGTTCCAGTAGCCACATCAATTCCAGTAGACCAGTAATTCCGCAAGACTGGACCGCAACTCCTCACCCCGTCCCTCCCTCCCAACCTCGGCGGCGAGCCCAGGGGGGAAGTGAGAATGGGCGGAGCTTCTCAGAAGGCTCGGAAGTTCCCCAGTCCTCTGAAGCATGTTCTGAGCCTTCATCAAAACACAGGAACCTCTTCCGAAGGCAGGAGGCCTTCTGAGAAGCCCCGCCGCCTTCTGAGAAGACCTTATCTTCCCGCTTCCCCCCTTCGCTCGCCGCCGACTCCCAACCTCCATCCCTCGGGAGCGCGCAAACATGGATTAGACATCCATGGATTTGGCGCGCGGTCGCCAAATCCATGGATCGGTGCCCTCCCCAAAATGCGGCCAATTCTGCCTCGTTCGGCGGCGGAAATTAGCGATTTCCCATGGGAACGGGACCCGTCGCTAATCCACACCCCCTTGATCCATGTTTGCGATCGCATGATTCTGAGAAGACCTTATCCTTCACACCTCCTCCTTCGCTCGCCGCCGACTCCCAACCTCCAGCCCCCTCTCCACCTCAGCTTCCCAACCTCCATCCGCTCTCCCCCTCCCCCTTGCCCCCTCCTGCCCCCTCCCCCTCCTCCGCTCCCGCGTCCCAAGGCTCCAACCCTTCAGGCCAGCGCCGGAACGCCTCGAGCAGGCTTGAGCCCAGATAGCAGCGCCGTGCCATCCTTTCAGAGGCCAGGTCGGGAACCACTGCAGTTGGCAGCTGGCCGCCAAACCCTACCCCCACCAACATATCGATTGTCCCGAGTCGATGGGAGCCGGGGGTTGGGTTCGGATTTCGCCACGTGTCCCCCGCCACTCATCGAGTTGTCTAAATCGTGGATCGGCAAGGATAGGATTCGGATTCCGCCGCCGACTTGAAGATCGCTGCCCCTGCTCATCAAGATCTCTTGGAGACCTCCAAGCCGGTCCAGGGTACTGATAAGAACACGGACCAGGGATCTGATGGCCATGATGACTGTGACGACGAAGTCATCTCCGCCGTCGGCATCGTCATCATTCGTCATCGTCGTCGTCACCGTCGTCATCATGGCCAAGATCTCCAGGGGCCCACATCACGCACGCAAAAAAACGGCATGTCTGAGGTCATCAGTGGGCGTGGGGCGTGGCTGGGGCAGCGATGAAGAGAGGATCGCCCCCAACCCAAGACAGTAAGGCAGCCTGCTCACCTCCAGGCAGGGGGAGGAGGCGGAGAAACGATGCGGGCGAAGAGGGAGGACGAGACATTCTGCGCAACAGCTTTGTGTATTCCCTCAAGCATAAGCATCCACATCACCACAAATTATAGCCGGGCTCGCCTTTGTGCATGAAAGCACCGAAGCCCTGAGTGGCTGTCGGGCCGCACTGGCCGTGCTGGTGTCATCAGCAGGCAGAGCGGTTGCAATGATCCACCTCACTGGCCTCAGCCCACCTGCTCGGCCGGGGGTCCATCCCCGCCGCCCCCGCCCTTGATCTCGCCCAGCGTCTTGCAGATGGCGATCGTGGGGTAGCAAACGATGCCGCACGAGCCCACCAGGCAAGGGACCTCATCGTCGCACGGGATGGCGGCCGCCCCAGCAAGGCAGCACATCTGGCCCTGCGACTTGATGCACACGGTGGGCGACACGCAGCGGATCGCGCAGCAGACGCAGCAGAGCGTCGGCGCGCCTGACTTGCAGCAGTACTCGACCTCCAGGCAGCACATGGTCTCGCTCGCCATGCACCCCAAGCACCCATCCCCGAAGAGCAGGCCGTCGTAGCAACAGCAGCACCCGTCGCAGACCATGATCGAGTCGTTGTCGAGCGCGTCGTTGTCGCCCTCGCCCATCGCTCCGATCAATCTTTGTCAACCGTTCGAGTCAGCGCCAGGATGCTTCGAGTCGTGCAGGCTTCGGCCCAAATAGCTGCGGCGGAGGGAGGAGGAACGGGGAGGAAACGTTCTGGGCGTCCTGCGGGTACCCGGGGGTCCTTGGAGGCCAGGAGAAAGAAACGATATCCACGATCCTGGGACGCCTCCCTGTGAGAGCGGTGGGGATGGGAAGCGGGCAGGGCGGAGTAAGGTAGGTTGTGATGCGTTTGGCGAGCTGATGTCTTCACCGGAGGACGGCCAAGGGGATGGAGCGATTCCTCCGACGGCTCGCTTGTCGTTCCGATTAATGTTCGGCAAACCGGGGGCATGGCAATGTCTTCCAGAGGTAGAACATGACGAATAGTCTATGACGCGAAATTGTTCGAATGGTATGAGATCTGGCAACGTGGTAATGGTGATGTGATGGCCATGATCGCGTCGTTGTCGAGCGCATCGCCGTCACCATCGCACATTGCTCCGATCAACATCTGCCAATCCTTCAGGCCAGCGCCGGAACGCCTCGAGCAGGCTTGAGCCCAGATAGCAGCGCCGTGCCATCCTTCCAGGGGCCAAGTCGGGACCCCCTGCAGTTGGCAGCTGGCGGCCAAGCCCTACCCCCACATCGATTCTCCCGAGTCGATGGGAGACGGGGGTTGGGTTCGGATTTCGCCACGTGTTCGGCAAATTCAGAACCCTACCCCCGCCGCCCATCGAGTTGCCTGAATCGTGGATCGGCAAGGGTAGGATTCGGATTCCGCCGCCGACTTGAAGATCGTTGCCCCTGCTCATCAAGATCTCTTGGAGACCTCCAAGCCGGCCCAGGATACTGATAAGAACACGACGGATCTGATGGCCATGATGACTGTGACAACGACGACCTCATCTCCGCCGTCGGCATCGTCATCATTCGTCATCGTCGTCGTCACCGTCGTCATCATGGCCAAGATCTCCAGGGGCCCACATCACGCACGCAAAAAACGGCATGTCTGAGGTCATCAGTGGGCGTGGGGCGTGGCTGGGGCAGCGATGAAGAGAGGATCGCCCCCAACCCAAGACAGTAAGGCAGCCTGCTCACCTCCAGGCAGGGGGAGGAGGCGGAGAAACGATGCGGGCGAAGAGGGAGGACGAGACATTCTGCGCAGCAGCTTTGTGTACTCCCTCAAACATACGCATCCACATCACCACAAATTATAGCCGGGCTCGCCTTTGTGCATGAAAGCACCGAAGCCCTGAGTGGCTGTCGGGCCGCACTGGCCGTGCTGGTGTCATCAGCAGGCAGAGCGGTTGCAATGATCCACCTCACTGGCCTCAGCCCACCTGCTCGGCCGGGGGTCCATCCCCGCCGCCCCCGCCCTTGATCTCGCCCAGCGTCTTGCAGATGGCGATCGTGGGGTAGCAAACGATGCCGCACGAGCCCACCAGGCAAGGGACCTCATCGTCGCACGGGATGGCGGCCGCCCCAGCAAGGCAGCACATCTGGCCCTGCGACTTGATGCACACGGTGGGCGACACGCAGCGGATCGCGCAGCAGACGCAGCAGAGCGTCGGCGCGCCTGACTTGCAGCAGTACTCGACCTCCAGGCAGCACATGGTCTCGCTCGCCATGCACCCCAAGCACCCATCCCCGAAGAGCAGGCCGTCGTAGCAACAGCAGCACCCGTCGCAGACCATGATCGAGTCGTTGTCGAGCGCGTCGTTGTCGCCCTCGCCCATCGCTCCGATCAATCTTTGTCAACCGTTCGAGTCAGCGCCAGGATGCTTCGAGTCGTGCAGGTTTCGGCCCAAATAACTGCGGCGGAGGGAGGAGGAACGGGGAGGAAACGTTCTGGGCGTCCTGCGGGTACCCGGGGGTCCTTGGAGGCCAGGAGAAAGAAACGATATCCACGATCCTGGGACGCCTCCCTGTGAGAGCGGTGGGGATGGGAAGCGGGCAGGGCGGAGTAAGGTAGGTTGTGATGCGTTTGGCGAGCTGATGTCTTCACCGGAGGACGGCCAAGGGGATGGAGCAATTCCTCCGACGGCTCGCTTGTCGTTCCGATTAATGTTCGGCAAACCGGGGGCATGGCAATGTCTTCCAGAGGTAGAACATGACGAATAGTCTATGACGCGAAATTGTTCGAATGGTATGAGATCTGGCAACGTGGTAATGGTGATGTGATGGCCATGATCGCGTCGTTGTCGAGCGCATCGCCGTCACCATCGCACATTGCTCCGATCAACATCTGCCAACCCTTCAGGCCAGCGCCGGAACGCCTCGAGCAGGCTTGAGCCCAGATAGCAGCGCCGTGCCATCCTTCCAGGGGCCAAGTCGGGACCCCCTGCAGTTGGCAGCTGGCGGCCAAGCCCTACCCCCACCAACACATCGATTCTCCCGAGTCGATGGGAGGCGGGGGTTGGGTTCGGATTTCGCCACGTGTTCGGCAAATTCAGAACCCTACCCCCGCCGCCCATCGAGTTGCCTGAATCGTGGATCGGCAAGGGTAAGATTCGGATTCCGCCGCCGACTGAAGATCGTTGCCCCTGCTCATCAAGATCTCTTGGAGACCTCCAAGCCGGCCCAGGATACTGATAAGAACACGACGGATCTGATGGCCATGATGACTGTGACGACGACGACCTCATCTCCGCCGTCGGCATCGTCATCATTCGTCATCGTCGTCGTCACCGTCGTCATCATGGCCAAGATCTCCAGGGGCCCACATCACGCACGCAAAAAACGGCATGTCTGAGGTCATCAGTGGGCGTGGGGCGTGGCTGAGGCAGCGATGAAGAGAGGATCGCCCCCAACCCAAGACAGTAAGGCAGCCTGCTCACCTCCAGGCAGGGGGAGGAGGCGGAGAAACGATGCGGGCGAAGAGGGAGGACGAGACATTCTGCGCAGCTCTTTGTGTACTCCCTCAAACATACGCATCAACATCACCACAAATTATAGCCGGGCTCGCCTTTGTGCATGAAAGCACCGAAGCCATTCGTGGCTGTCGGGCCGCACTGGCCGTGCTGGTGTCATCAGCAGGCAGAGCGGTTGCAATGATCCACCTCACTGGCCTCAGCCCACCTGCTCGGCCGGGGGTCCATCCCCGCCGCCCCCGCCCTTGATCTCGCCCAGCGTCTTGCAGATGGCGATCGTGGGGTAGCAAACGATGCCGCACGAGCCCACCAGGCAAGGGACCTCATCGTCGCACGGGATGGCGGCCGCCCCGGCAAGGCAGCACATCTGGCCCTGCGACTTGATGCACACGGTGGGCGACACGCAGCGGATCGCGCAGCAGACGCAGCAGAGCGTCGGCGCGCCTGACTTGCAGCAGTACTCGACCTCCAGGCAGCACATGGTCTCGCTCGCCATGCACCCCAAGCACCCATCCCCGAAGAGCAGGCCGTCGTAGCAGCAGCAGCACCCGTCGCAGACCACGATCGAGTCGTTGTCGAGCGCGTCGTTGTCGCCCTCGCCCATCGCTCCGATCAATCTTTGTCAACCGTTCGAGTCAGCGCCAGGATGCTTCGAGTCGTGCAGGCTTCGGCCCAAATAGCTGCGGCGGAGGGAGGAGGAACGGGGAGGAAACGTTCTGGGCGTCCTGCGGGTACCCGGGGGTCCTTGGAGGCCAGGAGAAAGAAACGATATCCACGATCCTGGGACGCCTCCCTGTGAGAGCGGTGGGGATGGGAAGCGGGCAGGGCGGAGTAAGGTAGGTTGTGATGCGTTTGGCGAGCTGATGTCTTCACCGGAGGACGGCCAAGGGGATGGAGCAATTCCTCCGACGGCTCGCTTGTCGTTCCGATTAATGTTCGGCAAACCGGGGGCATGGCAATGTCTTCCAGAGGTAGAACATGACGAATAGTCTATGACGCGAAATTGTTCGAATGGTATGAGATCTGGCAACGTGGTAATGGTGATGTGATGGCCATGATCGCGTCGTTGTCGAGCGCATCGCCGTCACCATCGCATATTGCTCCGATCAACATCTGTCAACCCTTCAGGCCAGCGCCGGAACGCCTCGAGCAGGCTTGAGCCCAGATAGCAGCGCCGTGCCATCCTTCCAGGGGCCAAGTCGGGACCCCCTGCAGTTGGCAGCTGGCGGCCAAGCCCTACCCCCACCAACACATCGATTCTCCCGAGTCGATGGGAGGCGGGGGTTGGGTTCGGATTTCGCCACGTGTTCGGCAAATTCAGAACCCTACCCCCGCCGCCCATCGAGTTGCCTGAATCGTGGATCGGCAAGGGTAGGATTCGGATTCCGCCGCCGACTTGAAGATCGTTGCCCCTGCTCATCAAGATCTCTTGGAGACCTCCAAGCCGGCCCAGGATACTGATAAGAACACGAGGGATCTGATGGCCATGATGACTGTGACGACGACGACGTCATCTCCGCCGTCGGCATCGTCATCATTCGTCATCGTCGTCGTCACCGTCGTCATCATGGCCAAAATCTCCAGGGGCCCACATCACGCACGCAAACAAAAACGACACGTCTGAGGTCATCAGTGGGCGTGGGGCGTGGCTGGGGCAGCGATGAAGAGAGGATCGCCCCCAACCCAAGACAGTAAGGCAGCCTGCTCACCTCCAGGCAGGGGGAGGAGGCGGAGAAACGATGCGGGCGAAGAGGGAGGACGAGACATTCTGCGCAGCAGCTTTGTGTACTCCCTCAAACATACGCATCCACATCACCACAAACTATAGCCGGGCTCGCTTTGTGCATGAAAGCACCGAAGCCCCGAGTGGCTGTCGGGCCGCACTGGCCATGCTGGTGTCATCAGCAGGCAGAGCGGTTGCAATGATCCACCTCACTGGCCTCAGCCCACCTGCTCGGCCGGGGGTCCATCCCCGCCGCCCCCGCCCTTGATCTCGCCCAGCGTCTTGCAGATGGCGATCGTGGGGTAGCAAACGATGCCGCACGAGCCCACCAGGCAAGGGACCTCATCGTCGCACGGGATGGCGGCCGCCCCGGCAAGGCAGCACATCTGGCCCTGCGACTTGATGCACACGGTGGGCGACACGCAGCGGATCGCGCAGCAGACGCAGCAGAGCGTCGGCGCGCCTGACTTGCAGCAGTACTCGACCTCCAGGCAGCACATGGTCTCGCTCGCCATGCACCCCAAGCACCCATCCCCGAAGAGCAGGCCGTCGTAGCAGCAGCAGCACCCGTCGCAGACCATGATCGAGTCGTTGTCGAGCGCGTCGTTGTCGCCCTCGCCCATCGCTCCGATCAATCTTTGTCAACCGTTCGAGTCAGCGCCAGGATGCTTCGAGTCGTGCAGGCTTCGGCCCAAACAGCTGCGGCGGAGGGAGGAGGAACGGGGAGGAAACGTTCTGGGCGTCCTGCGGGTACCCGGGGGTCCTTGGATGCCAGGAGAATGAAACGATATCCACGATCCTGGGACGCCTCCCTGTGAGAGCGGTGGGGATGGGAAGCGGGCAGGGCAGAGAAAGGCAGGTGGTGACGCGTTTGGCGAGCTGATGTCTTCACCGGAGGACGACAAAGGGGATGGAACAATTCCTCCGACGGCTCGCTTGTCGTTCCGATTGATTTTTGGCAAACCGGGGGCATGGCAATGTCTTTCAGGGGTAGAACATGGCCTATGACGCTAAACTGTTCGAGTGGCAAGAGATCTGGCAACGTAGTAATGGAGTGATGGCCCTGGTCGCGGTGCCAGGTCGGGAACCCCTGCAGTTGGCAGCTGGCCGCCAAACTCTACCCCACCACCATCGCTTCTTCCAAATCCATGAGAGGCGGGGGTAGGGTTGAGCGTCATTTGCTGCTTTCGAAACTACAAGCTCCAAGTTGAGGGATTGTGAACACTATGCGCTAGCTAAACCATATCCAAAGCCCTATGATTGGAGCTACAAAATTCACACCGAAAATATTCACTGAATAAACACCGCGCGTGCACGATGATCATATTCAAAACAAGTCGCAACACATTGCAGGAATGCCCTCCGATGCCCTCACAAAACCAATCCCGACCCTAAACCGAGACACCACGACACCATAACACGATGGCACTTCTTGCGATTGGCGACTAGCGGGCAACACCTGGTGGTCGGTAGTAGTAGTAGTACTAGTAGTAGTAGTAGTAGTAGTAGTAGTAGTAGTAGTAGTAGTAGTAGTAGTAGTAGTAGTAGTAGTAGTAGTAGTAGTGGTAGTAGTAGTAGTAGTAGCAGCAGTAGTAGTCGTAGAAAATAGTAGTAGTAGTAGTAGGAGTAGGAGTAGTAGTAGTAGTAGTAGTAGTAGTAGTAGTAGTAGTAGTAGTAGTAGTGGTGGTAGTAGTAGCAGTAGTAACGGTGGTAGTAGCAGTAATAGTAGCAATAGAAGTCGTCGTCGACGTAGTAGTAGTAGTAGTAGTAGTAGTGGTAGTAGTCGTAGTGGTAGTACTAGCCGTAGTAGCAGTCGTCGTCGTAGTAGTAGTCGTAGTAGTAGTAGAAGTAGTAGTAGTAGTGGTAGTAGTAGTAGTAGTAGTAGTAAGAGTAGTAGTAGAAGTAGTCGTAGACGTAGTCGTAGTAGTAGTAGCAGTAGTGGTAGTAGTAGTAGTAGTAGTAGTCGTAGTAGTAGTAGTAGTAGTAGTAGTAGTAGTAGTAACAGTAACAATAGTGGTACATGTAATAATCGTAGATTGTAGTAGTCGTAATAGTAGCAGCCGTCTTAGTAGTTGCAGTAGTAGTAGTCGTAGCAGTAGTAGTAGTAGTAGTAGTAGTAGTAGTAATAGTAGTAAAAGTAGTAGTAGTAGTAGTAGTAGTAGTAGTAGTAGTAAGTAGAAATAGTAGTAGTAGTAAGTTAGTAGTAGTAGTAGTAGTAGTAGTAGTAGTAGTGGTAGTAGTCGTCGTAGTCGTAGTAGTAGTGGTAGTAGTAGCAGTAGCAGCAGCAATAGTAGTAGTAGTAGTAGTAGTAGTAGTAGTAGTAGTCGTGGACTGATCGTAATAGTCGTAGCAGTAGTAGTCGTAGTAATCGTAGTCGTATTACGAATAGTAGACGTATTGGTAATAGTAGTGGTATTAGTAATCGTAGTAGTACTAGTAGTAGTACTGGTAGTAGCAGTACTGGTAGTCGTATTAGTAATAGTAGTAGTACTGGTCGTATAAGCATTAGCAGTAGTAGTAGTAGTAGTAGTGGTAGTAGTAGTAGTAGTAGTAGTAGTAGTAGTAGTAGTAGTAGCAGTAGTAGTATAAGTAATCGTAGAAGTAGTGGTCGTAGGAATAGTAGTGGTGGTAGTAGTAGCAGTCATATCAGTAGTAGAAGCCGTCGTCGTAGTATTAGCAGTCGTAGTAGTAGTCGTAGTAGTAACAATATTTGTAGTAGTAGCAGCAGCAGTAGTAGTAGTAGAAATACTGGTAGTAGTAGTAGTAGGAGTAATAGTAGTAGTAGTAGTAGTGATAGTAGTAGTAGTAGTAGTAGTAGTAGTAGTAGTAGTAGTCGTAGTCGTAGTTGCTGTGGTAGTACAAAAGAATACAAGTAACATTAAGAATAGTAGTCGTAGTGGTAGTAGCGGTGGTAGTAGTAGCAGTAGTAGTAGTGATAGTAGTAGTAGTGTAGTAGTAGTAGTAGTAGTAGTCGTAGTAGTAGTAGTAGTAGTAGTAGTAGTAGTAGTAGTAGTCGTAGTAGTAGTAGTAGTAGTAGTAGTACTGGTAGTAGTAGTCATACTGGTCGTAAAAGTAGTAGGGTTGACCTTACTCTGTTTGCCCCAAGGAGCCTCTGGGATTCCGTTGGGTTGCTGGTGGTCTGAGGCTCCGTTGGGCGTCCTGGAAGCTTTGTTGGGCGTCCTGGAGGCCTTTCCATGGCGTCATGGAAGCTTTCTTAAGCGTCCTGGAAGCTTTCTTAAGCGTCCTCGAGGCCTTCCATGGCGTCCTGGAGACCTTCCATGGCGTCCTGGAAGCTCTCTTAGGCGTCCTAAGGGCTTCCTTGGGCGTCCTGGTGGCCTTCTCGGGCGTCCTGGAAGCTTTCTTGGGCGTCCTGGAGGCCCTCTTGGTGATCGTTTGGTGCTAGTTTTTCGTATGGTACTAGTGTGGTTTCCGTTTGGTAAGTGATTACAAATGGTAATCTTATGGCTTTCGCATGGCAATATGGTGGGTTTCGTATGGTAATCGTATAGTTTTCGCAAGGTGGAAATATGGATTGCGTATGGTAATGGTACGGCTTCCGTGTGGTAGTATTATGGCTTTCGCGTGGTAGTAGCATGGCTTCCGCATGGTAGTCGTATGACCTTCGTACGGTAATCGTTTGGCTTCCGCATGGTAATGTTCTGGCTTTCGTATGGTAATCGCGTGGTTTTCGAATGGTAATCGCATGGTTTTCATATGGTACCATTATGGTGCCACATGGCAATCTTATGGTTTTCATATGGTAACAATATGGCCTCCGCGTGTTGATCCTCCGGTGTGCGCATGATAACCGTATGGTTGTAGCATGGTAATATGATGGTATTCGTATGGTAATACTCTGGATGTCATGTGGTAACATGTTG